CCTTTTAGCTACTCTTCTGGAGTTTTCGTATGTTGTTCTCTTCATTCTGGTTGGTCCTTCTACGTATTTTTTCCTACCCTTGTTAGGTTGCTAAACAGCTTGCGTACAATCTCTGTCGTAGCGTTCATTTCCACTTCGTTTTGGTTTGTGACCTACTTATGACTCTGCAGCTGATATTATAGCAGTATTAATGCTATAACATTATAGTTCTTGAACTTGTATATCTGCCACGGTGTTAAGGTCTGCTTTTAGTGCTTGTTGGTATTGCACTCTTATTTTTTCGTCTTTCATTCTCTCCATGTATAGCTTAGGACTTAGGAGTACCTTGTCTATTAGATGTCTTCTTACTGTTCAGAGACATAGAGTCGCAATCAGCACCTCTGTATGTCCTTACATCTCTTTTTATTTACCATATTCTATTATTCACTCTCGTTCTGATTTTCGGATGTTTTATGTAGTTGCTGGGCGACTTCTTGGCTGTGTTTTAAATGAGCTACCCTTTTATTCTTGGGCTAGTGCTTAGTTGGTGCTCATGGTCTAGTGATAGTGTTAGTATTAATTATGGTTTTAGTTGTTATTAGTGGTGGAACGGATATCCGGCAACTATCCTATATCTATGTTTATTAATTAAAGTATCAGTAAATTTTGTGTTTAGTACGTAAAGGTACCATCAGGATAATAACAGGTACAATATTGAGATTAATGAGCCAAGCGAATACAGATACGTTTTGGGCTTGAATGAAGCTTTGACTGATGAAGAGCTTGAAAAGTTAGTGTTGAATTAGAAAATCTTCCGCTGCATAATTCTGAACAGACAGACATAGAAGATTGAGAATAGAGTAGAGTGAGATGCCTATGCTAAAAGATGAAGAAGTAGAACAACTAACTAATCAAAGTGAGGAAAGTGACACTGAAGTCGTAGAAATACGTGGCAAAGGATCCAAGAAGAAGAACAAGGCAGAAATTGATAGAAAATGGAGAAAACGGAAAAACAGACTAAAATTCCAGGGTATGATTATCTAGAAGAAATAATTGGTGATACTTTTGCAACTTGCAATAATCCGACAGATTATTTTCTAACACTGATGGGTAACTGTGTCAAAGATATTACCTATCAAACGTTAAACTTGAAAGAACAAGAATTGCTGTTTCCTTGGCATAAATTTCTTAATGAGTTATCACAGTTTGCCAAGCTAAAAACATGGATTCGGTAGATCATGCCGATCAACTTCGACAACTTCCAAGAAGTGATATATGCTTCGTCAATTCTTTTGTCATATATTTTGAATGTGAAGAGGAAAGGATGGCGCTATTAGATTTTCGTCATTCTGTAGCTACAAGTCTGATAATTAAATACACAAATTTATTGCGTCCACGAAAATGTCGTAGCGCAAGTTCACCAGCCCAGTTACCCAAAAGATGAAAGTTTCGATTACTTTTGAAAAAGAAGGAGGAAGGTGTGAAAATTGTTGCTGCCAATGCTATTCAGTTCAGACGCTACTCAAAATGTACTGCGTGCAAAGTTTATTGATGTTGTAATGAAAAAAGAACTGTTTATCTGAATATCTTAATGTGATTTAGCTAAAGCAAGTGTTATTTATTTTCTAACTACTCTCAAGTAGCATTATCCCCTTTTGCTAAAATTGATCCCAAAGACCTTTACTGAGTGTATTTTGATTCTGTCACAAAGTTTCAAAATCTTTAACTTCTTGGGACACAAAGGGTTAAATTCATTTTTATAATGGCCGGATAGATATGCCGGATAACCGGATATCCGGCCAACGGGGATGCCAATTATCTGGTATCCGGCTTTTCGCAAAATCACTATCCGTTCCATAACTAGTTGTTATTCATTCAGCGCCAGGTTGTTGTATACTTGCATTGAACTAAAACTAGAACTAACACTAGACCTAGAACTAGAAACATTTGGGTTTAGCCGTCTTAAGAGATGTACGGCTAAACCCGAATGATTCTAGTTCTAGGTTTAGTGTTAATTCTAGTTTTACTCTAGCATTTTGGTATGTAGAACTGACACTATACCTAGAACTAGAATCATTTGGGTTTAGCCGCACGTCTCTAAAGACGGCTAAACCCGAATGATTCTAGTTTTAGGTATAGTGTTAGTTCTAATTTTACATGTGCATTGTCACTAGAACTAACACTAGACCTAGAACTAGAAACATTTGGGTTTAGCCGTCTTAAGAGATGTACGGCTAAACCCGAATGAATCCAGTTCTAGGTTTAGTGTTAATTCTAGTTTTACTCCAGCATTTTGGTATGTAGAACTGACACTATACCTAGAACTAGAATCATTTGCGTATAGCCGCACGTCTCTAAAGACGGCTAAACCCGAATGATTCTAGTTCTAGGTATAGTGTTAGTTCTAGTTTTACACTTGCACTATCACTAGAACTAACATTAGACCCAGAACTAAAAACATTTGGGTTTAGCCGTCTTGAGAGATGTACGGCTAAAGCTAAATGTTTTTAATTCTAGATCTAGTGTTAGTTCTAGTTTTACACTAGCATTCTTTCTATGGAGAACTAACATTAGACCTAGAACTAGAAGCATTTGGGTTCAGCCGTCTTAAGAGATGTACGGCTAAACCCAAATGTTTCTAGTTCTAGGTCTAGTGTTAGTTCTAGTTTTAACTGCTATTTAGTGCTAAATTGTTGTATATTTGTATTGAACTAAAACTAGAACTAACAATAGACCTAGAACTAGGAACATTTGGGTTTAGCCGCACGCCTTTCAAGACGGCTAAACCTAAATGATTCTAGTTCTAGGTCTAATGTTAGTTCTAGTGACAGCGCTAATGCACAACTAGATCTAGTGTTAGTTCTAGTAACAAAACTAGAACTTTAACATCCATATTTGCGGATTATGGCAAAGAAAAATTTGCGCATATCTGAGTTTATGTTAGTAAGTAATATGATTCTTTTTTGATTAAGTTTTACGTTGAGATTGAAATTTCTATTGTTAGAAAATTTCGTAAAGGTCCATTTACAAGCCCAGTTCGTCCGGAAGTGATAATTCAATCTCTATCTGCACCGTTGAATAATTAAAAGCGTCGGCGTCGCCCGTCGCGCTCTCATTCGGATTTATGTTACGGAAACTCCTCCGGAATCTTGCGTTTAAACCGAAGGGCAACCTAAAACGCGTTTCCCGGAGGAGATTAAGACGAGAACTAATTGTAAGAGATCCACCCCAATCTCACCCAACAATTTTATTAGTCCATTTTTAATCATTTTTTTCGATCCGATTCGATCTTAAGCAACCATAAAATTAACTTCGATTAATCACAATTAATCACCGCGAAACAATTTTTTTTCATCTCAAATTTTATTTAGACATTGAAACAAGTTGTTCTATTAAAACCCAAGATGTTCAAAAATTGTTTTTATAACTTGGTGATTTTAATTTTTTTCTTTGCATTTTCTTATTCGTATAAATCTACGGCTAAATTTAATTACAACAGTAATCAAAAAACGATGTACGTTGATTGTGAAAAGCCTAACAATTTAAATGGAGACCAAAAAAAAATGTGTAATGGTTTTGGAACGTTTTACGACGCTTCATACGGATTTAAACCATCCCTCAAAGCATGCCCACCCTTCGAAGTCAACATTGGTAATAAATGCGTTAAATTGCAGAATTTAAGCACCGCAATCGAAGATCAAATTTATCAAAGATTTGGAAAAAAAGTACACCAATAAAAAATTTAATGTAACCTAAATAAACGATTTTAAAGAAAAATTTGCGTTTTAACAAGTTAATTTCGCCTCAAACTTCATTATCATTAAAAGGGTCCCTAATTTCGGCTAGTTTCGGAGTTTCAAACCCAAAATCAAACAGTTTGTTAGTTTAGGATCAAGGAATCGAGTTAAATTAGGATCTAAAAATACCTTTAAAAATGAATCGAATTTATTTTGTACTATTATCTCCGTATAAACTCATTAATCTAAATGCGTAATCATCGGGAATCGGAACACAAACGTTCTCTTCGTTTCGAAAGAAACCTCTCCGACAGATCCTGTGGGTTTTATCGTAACTTTCTTGGCCGAAATTGTGATCGGCGAGAACTTTTGGGTTTTTCTCGACGCACACTCCGTAATTCCATAAAGGGTAAGGGTCACAATCTAACACGGACAATTTTTCGAATGAAGCTTTAAATGTTAAACACATCAGAATGGTTTTAAAAAGAAAATTCATTTTTAAAATGTTTAAATTGTTTTAAATGAAATTAATAATAACGTAATAAAGTTAATGACGTGGGTTTTTTAATCGTGGTTATAAAATTAATTGAGATAAGAATTATTTTTGATTTTTTTTTGTTTGTTTCAGGGCTTTTCTTAGGATTTTGTGTGTTTGTTGTCCGAGGCAAATAAGAAGGCGATATCAATCTGCTTTTAGGACAAAACACAGCCAGGTAAAACTTTTTTATATAATATACAAGTTTTTGTATTAATTATTGTAAAAATTTACTTCGTACCCGACGTCATCATTGCAAGTATGCAACCAATATTACAGTACGCGTATTGCAATGCGCGATTTGTGTATTTGGTTGCATATTTGCAATGATGACGTCGGGTACGATAATTAATTAACACAGTGTATATTTGCATACATTATATACAGGGAGTTTCGGTGACTTGGGGAACAAATTTAAAAAAAAAAAAATAGTAAAAGTCCTCAAATTGCAAAGATACAGGCCATCAAAGTTAGGAAATTTTAACACATTTTTCGAAATATCTTAAACACTATTTATGGTAAAGCGTTAAAATTTGGTACGCTGTAAATTAATATCACGTAAAATCATTAGGCAATTTGAGTTGGATCGGTACGCGGGATCAATGCTATATAGGCTGTTCCTAAAGTTTGTTTGCTCAGAACTTTTTTATTCTATCATGACCCTACATTTATTTTTGCAGTTTCTAATAGTAAATTTAGTTTAGAAACTTTTATCACTCTTAGAGAATATTGATAAAAACCANAGGATTTTGTGTGTTTGTTGTCCGAGGCAAATAAGAAGGCGATATCAATCTGCTTTTAGGACAAAACACAGCCAGGTAAAACTTTTTTATATAATATACAAGTTTTTGTATTAATTATTGTAAAAATTTACTTCGTACCCGACGTCATCATTGCAAATATGCAACCAAATACACAAATCGCGTATTGCAATACGCGTACTGTAATATTGGTTGCATACTTGCAATGATGACGTCGTGTACGATAATTAATTGACACAGTGTATATTTGCATAAATTATATACAGGGTGCCCATTATGTATGGAATATAGTTCTTATCTTAGTAAATGTTGATTTTATAAACAAACATTTCATACAAAAGTTGTTTAATATTTTATTTGCCATAATAAGACTGCATTGAATTGTTTTTATTTCGGAAAATAAATGAGCAACGAATAACACTTGAAGTTTTAGCCTCATTTATTAGCCTCATTTGATAGAGATTACTTTCTCTGTATGAAATGTTTTTTTATAAAGTTGATACCTACCAAGATATACAGGGTGAATCAGAAAGAATGGGAAATCCGAATACCGGAGATACTAGACACCACAATATGATGATTTAACATAATATCTCTTATACAAATGTCAGTAGTTTTCGAGGCATAGGGTGTTGAAAGTTAAATTCCTATTTCGAAATTTCTTGATAATTTTGAAGGTTTTTGTACTATTAACATAAAATTTGGTAGTTTTATGTTTTCTAGCATGAGAAATACGAATTTTAAACTTGTTTTGTTATTGCTCGTAGAGGGCGCTAGATACACGCTGCTCGTTTGATAAATCAAATCATAAGTTTTTTGGCTCGACAGCTACGACCAATAAGAGCTGCAAATCACAAAGAACAATCAATTTTACATAAAAAAAGGTACTCTTAAGTCTATCGGTTTTCGAATTATTTACTTTTAAATGTTTATATGTATTTTTTCTTCTAAAATATTTATTTTTTAACATAAGCAAAGTTGGGTTATTTTTCCGCTTATGTTTCGACAATTGCTTATTAATTGTCAACATTGATCTAATTTTCGTGCGCAATAATCATTTTTATCAACAATAAAGTTATTACCAATTTGAAAATGCCACAGCATAATGAGTTTTTTAATAGTGAGAAATCCAGATTTAAGTCCACTGGATATTTGAAAATGGTCACAAATTCTATTGTTATTAATTAATTGTTATTGTTATCGATTATTATCGTTACTAATTGCTATAGTTACTGTGTGTTATTGATTTTAAATGTTAACCTTAAAATTACTTTGAAACAATTAAAAGCAGATAACTCGGAAACCAGTGGACTTAGACAATGTGAGCAAGAGTACCTTTTTTGTGCAGAATTGAAAACTGCCATACCTCAACTGACAAAATAGTCATGACTTGATATCTCAAACGTAAAGTGTATATCTAGCGCCCTCTACGAGTAATCACAAAACAAATATCAAATTCGTATTTCTCATGCTCGAAAACATCTAATTACCAAATTTTATGTCAATAGTACAAAAACCTTCAAAATTATCAAAAAATTTCGAAATAAAAATTTAACTTTCAACACCCTGTGTATTAAAAACCACCGACATTTGTATAAGACATGTTAGGTTAAATCGTCATATTTTGGTGTCTAGTGTCTCCGGTATTCGGATTTCCCATTCTTTCTGACTCACCTTGTATACTATATTCCAAATATAGTATCATGATTCACATAAGAACCGAGACAGAGCAGGGACATGTAAAGTACAATAAATTAAGTTGATTTAACGCAACTTATCTCTATACTAAGTTGTACCCCTGAGGAGTTATAGGCCTTTAAAGTTGGCTCTTAAATTTTTAAAAAGTTCAATATCTTCGTAATACATTAAGCTAGTAAAACCAAATTTGGTACACGTTATGTGTGTACCAAGGGTATTAATTGGTAGCAAATTGAACTCCATTGAGGTATTTCAAAGGATTGATTAAGGGTGATGGTACCCTAAATTTGGACATATTTTTTTAACCTTTTGGCGGATTTAATACATTACTACTTCATTAGATGTGGAATTTAATTCTAAAACTTTTCTTACTCTTATTATTTTTTAAAAAACTTTGTCGTTTTCATAAAAAACTTCAATAACTAAAGACACGTATTTCGTAATGTTCTTAAAATAAGCGAAAATTCAGTAGTCGGCTATGAAATTGTACGTCCAACTTGACAAATAGGTTATAAAATTATTTGACAACAAGGTTTTATAACCTATTTGTCAAGTTTGACGTACAATTTCACAGCCGACTACTGAATTTTCAATGATTTTAAGTAGCATTAACGAAATGTGTCTTTAGTTATTTGAGTTTTTTATGAAAACGTACCCTTAATCAACCCTTTGAAATTTCTCAATTGGTCTCAACTTGCTACTAATTAATACCCTCGGTACACTCATAACGTATACCAAATTTGGTTTTTCTAGCTTAATGCATTACAAAGATATTCAATGTTTTAAAAATTTAAGACCCAACTTTGAAGAGCTATAACTCCTCAGGGGTACAACTTAGTATAGAGATAAGTTACGTTAAATCATCTTAATTCATTTTCCTCTACATGTCCCTGCTATGTGTCAGTTTTTATGTGAATCACCCTGTATATATAGGGTGAGTTTTTTTTCCATGTTTAGTATAGAGATCTTGAAAACTAGCGGAGATAGAGAGACGATTAAATAAGGAAAGAATTGCAGTTTCATGAACTCAATTTAATGAGCTTTAATGAGATATCTCGAAAAAACCGTTTTTTTCTTATATTGTTAGATACCTATGGCTCCGCTATTATTGATTTAGGAAAAAATGTGTAAAGGAAAAATTTTCCGATTAAAGGAATAAATGGCTATAATTTATTTATTAATAAAAATATCCATGTCAATATCCATATCATTAGAATCGTTGAGAAAACGCCTTTTTTATAAAATCAAGGCCAACTATGGTTTCCATTAGAAAAATTACAAGTTTGTGTCATAACTCAAAAATTATTGCATAAATAAAAGAATCAATTAGATTGCTTTATTAAACATGTAATACCCTACAAATTTTTCCTTTACACATTTTTCCTAAAATCAATAATAGCGGAGCCATATGTATCTAACGATATAACAAAAAAAACAGTTTTTACGAGATATCTAATTAGCCATGCATTTCATTCAAAAAACAAAAAGTAATGAGTTCATGAAACAGCATTTCTTTCCCTATTTAATCGTCTCTCTATCTCCGCTAATTTTCGAGATCTCCATACTAAATATGGAAAAACCTCATCCTGTATATAACAATATAATATACAGTATGTCCCCGGATCGAGTTACAAAGAGGAAAAAAATTTGATTACTGATTTTTCAAACTTATCTCAGCATAAATAATGCGTCGGATATGTTCAAACCACTAAATCGCACGAATTTTATATTCTAACTATGGAAGTTAACTAATTATTCCCGTTTTTATGTAAAAATTGGATTTTTCAAGTTTAATTTATGATATGTAGCCATAGAAACCATAAAAGTTACTAAAATTACTAAAATATGGCTAAATAATTGAAATAAAATATTTTAAATGTACATTTATGTAATAAGTAATAACACACTAGGTATGTAAGTAATAAATATTATTTATTTGTAAGTGAACAAATAATTCGGCACACATTTAAAGACGAGTTATAAATTCTTTATAAGAATTACGAATTTCCGCCAGTGGTAGAGATTCTATCGCATTAATAATTCTTAGTTTTAATAGTTCTGCATCGTCTTGTAATGGTTCACTATAAACGATTTGTTTCAATCGTCCCCAAAAATAAAAATCCGTAGTTGTAAGATCAGGACTACGTGCTGGCCATCAAATAGGACCATTTCGTCAAATCCATTTTTGCCGAAATTGTAAATTTAACCATTTGGTACAATGGTAAACTGGGCAACTGTCTTGCTGAAAGTACATTGACCGTATAAAATTTAAGGGTAATTGAATTTACATCACTCCAATAACGACAATGCTGGGAAGAAACAATGTCATTTGGTGCTTTCATCCGAAAATACAATAAATTTTCCAGGCAGAAATCCAATCGTTTGGCATCATCGCCGGCATCCAAAGTCTGTCTAAATCGTGGTCTAAATGGTTTAATTTTGCATTTTCTTTGTAAATTCTGGAGAGGTGCGATTTATACTAATTTATAATACTAATTTCAGTTTGTAACGCACTTCTTCAAAGTGATAATTTTGGAGATTCTTGAACGTAATTTGATGCTATTAGAGAAGCTCATTTAGTCTCTTTTTCTGCTTCTTTATGGTTTTTATGGTTACATATCATAAATTGAACTTAAAACATTTTCAAATCAGAAAAAGGTCAAATTTTTACATAAAAATGAGAATAACTAGTTAACTTCTATAGTTAGAGTATAAAATTTGTGCGAATTAGTGGTTTGAACATATCCGACGCATTATTTATGCTGAAATAAGTTTGAAAAATTAGTAATAAAAATTTTTTTCCTCTTTGTAACTCGATCCGGGAACATACTGTATATTGTATAATACATTTTAATTTTAATAAAAGTATACAGGGTTTTTCAAAAAATAACGATTAAGATAAAATATTGCTTTTTATACAGGTGCTCTAAAATTCCCATTACAAATTTCTAGGACTTTTAGAGGGGACTAAGTGGATAATATTTTGAATTGTCTGAAAACGTACCGTTTTTGTCACTCTCACAAAAACTAACACTAGACCAAGAACTGCAATCATTTGGATTTAGCCGCACGTCTCTAAAGACGGCTAAACTCGAATGATTCTAGTTCTAGGTATAATGTTAGTTCTAGTTTTACACTAGCATTGTTGGTATGTAGAACTAACACTAATGGTGGAACGGATATCCGGTATCCGGCCTATCCGGCAATTTTTTAAAATCCGGGTGAATACCGGATAGTTACCAAATATCCGGCTTTGGCCGGATATTAAAAATCTATTACTTAGTACTCCACCATTCACAGGAATTAGTATCTCTTTTAAGTGTTGGACAGTGCAGATAATAATCAAGTTCAACCCCAATAGGACTTCTTTCATTGAATACAACTTTATTTATCATTAGCAACCTCAATGTAACAATCCCAATATATAAAATCTCTTGTTGCAGTTTCGTCTAGTTCTCTTCTCTTCGCTTGTAATTCATTATCACATTCATTACTAACAGAACTGTCGCTGTTATCACTTTCGATTATTAAAGTATCCTCTTTTTAATGCAACAAGCCGTTTTGAAAAATCACTTTTAGTTCTTGAGAAATTAATTTTTGAAGTTATGGAAAATTTTTTCGAATATTGCAATTTTCGCTGATTAAGTTTTAAAAATTCGTATAAAATCCATTTCTTGGAATATGAGTTTGAAAATTTCCCAAAATATTAATAAAAGTGTCTTCTTTCCAATGAACCAAACCGTTTTGAAAAATAACTTTTAGTTTTTGAGAAAACAATATTTGAAGTTTTGATAAGATTTTCGATGTTGCAATTTTCATTGATAACATTCAAAATTCGCTATAAAATTTAATTCTTGAAGGATCCTTGTGGAATTATCACCAATTATTAATTAAAGTATCCTTTTTTTCATGCAAAAAGCCGTTTTGAAAAATCACTTTTAGTTCCTGAGAAATAAATTTTTGGAAATGATCGACAATTTTTTTCGAATTTTGCAAATTTTCGCCGATTAATGCACTCCAATAATATACAACCAATCAGAGTAACGATCGTTTAAAATTTCGACCAATAACGTGAATTTCTAAGTGGATAAAAGTTACCTAGGTTTTTCAACTGAATAAATCACACGTGATATTTTATAACTGATTAAAACGCGACTACCATATATATACTTTTGTTTNCCCCTTAGAGGGCGCTAGGGAAGCTTAAGGTATGCTAGAAAACAAGATGTTAACCAGTAGTAAATACATACCAAATTTCAAATTCTTCGGTTTACTTATAGCCGAAATAAATAATAAAATGTAAATTTTTAGCTCAACTTTGATCGCTCATAGCTCGAAAACAAAAGAGTTGCGACCCTATGTTTATATAAAAAACTTGTGTTATTTTGGCAAGTACTACGTCATAGTAAAGTTTCCCGATTAAAAACTGAACCACCCTGTATATTAACATACTATTAATTAAATTAATACCGACTTGTTGAGCAACGTTTAGTAATTGTTTATAGTTTGTTTCTGCGCTTCCTTCAAATAATTTACTAATTAAAAAAGGGATTTATTGTTCTGCCATTTAATTGTATTTTTATCACGCTTTGATTATTTATTTACTAAGTTTTTTTTTTAAATTGTATTTTAATATAATATTACTGATTTACAAATGACAGACAAATAAAAAAGAAAAAACAAAAAAAAGTGACTAAAAAAGGACAGAACATTCTGTCACTTTTTTAAGTACAATAATGACATTTTATTACACATTTTTCTTTAAATTCTAAATATCAGGAAAACTATTAAAGTTAGACATACGACATACTTATCATTAATTAAAGGGAACTTGATGAGCAATTCAACTAGCACACAACATACAGGCTGCTCGATTTAAAAAACTTACGAAAAAGTCATTTGAAAAACATCAAAAGTAACTGAGCTTTTTAAACATCCTGTATATTGTATCTAATATCTTTAAATACTATCATCTATATACCTACTGGCTTTGACTATTGTCTGACGTAGTTTCAAGACAAAATCGGAAAAAATGCCGTTTTTACATCGTTTTTAAAAAGATCCTGTAATGGGCACATTTTGGAAGAACAATTGGATATCTCAGGAACTATGAACGCTGTGAAATAGTAATATATACGGTTGTATAAACAGATTCAGTTGTATTCATAATATGACAAAATATACAGGGTGTTCCATTTCAATAAATTTATTAACTCCGTTACGCTTAAATGGAACACCCTGTACAAGTGAAAATAATTTTACGTAATAGAATGTCATGAGTCAAACAACTTTTGTATAAATAATTTTTTTGTTTTTCAAAGTGTTTAGTAATTATCGACCGCCGGGATACTAATAACTCACGCTGTATATAACAATATACAGGTACCCATTATGTACGGAATATAGTATATATCTCGGTAAATGATGATTTTATAAAAAAACTTTTTATACAAAAATTGTTTAATATTTCATTTGCCATGATAAGAGTGCATTCAATTGTTTTTAAATCAGAAAACAAATGAGTGACATCATAAAGAGAAAAAAAAATCTCTATCAAATGAGCCTGACGAAAGGGTACATTGCCACTTAAAAAACTTCAAGTTATTCGTTGCTCATTTGTTTTCTGAAGTAAAAACAATTGAATGCTGTCTTATTATGGCAAATAAAATATTAAACAACTTTTGTATAAAATGTTTTTTTATAAAGTCAACATTTACCGAGAGCTATTCCATACATAATGGGCACCTGTATATTGTATAATACATTTTAATTTTAATAAAAGTATACAGGGTTTTTCAAAAAATATCGATTACGATAGGTGCTTTAAAATTCCCCTTACAAACTTCTAGGATTTTTAGAGGGGACTAAGTAGATAATATTTTGAATTGTCCGAAAGCGTACTATTTCTGTCACTCTCACTAGAACTACCACTAGACCTAGAACTAAAATCATTCGGGTTTAGCCGTACGTCTCTTAAGACGGCTAAACCCAAATGTTTCTAGTTCTAGGTCTAATGTTAGTTCTAGTGATAGTGGAAGTGTAAAACTAGATCTAATATTACATCTAGAACTAGAATTATTCGGGTTTAGCCGTCTTTAGAGACGTGCGGCTAAATCCAAATGATTCTAGTTCTAGGTATAGTGTTAATTCTACATATCAACAATGCTAGTGTAAAACTAGAACTAACACTAGATCTGTAAGTCTAGTGTTAGTTCTAGTAATAGTATCATTTATAGATTAGTTGTTATTGAGCGCCAGGTTTTTGTACATTTTATGTATGGAACATACCGAGTAAATACGCCATTTATGATTTAATGATTTCTTAGGGAATTTTGACAAATTTTCAGATAATTTTTCAAACAAAATCCACCTCCTAAACCTCACACAAAATGATCCAGAACTAATAGATGCACAAAGTTACAAAGAAATCTTTGACATAAACTAATTTTGAAAAACTCTGTATAACAAGATTAGAATTAAACAACGTAAAAATATTTTTTGTATGGTTTAAGAATAAGAATTTTTAGGTAGCTTGGGAAGCAATGCAACTCGTCCATCGGATTAAAGCGAACGCTGAAAGAATGGCTGAAAATGAAACTGAAACCGAAACGGAAACCGAACGACAATCATTTTAATTTTACCTCGAATTATTAATTTTTCGTTCTATTTTAATTTTTATTTTTTTTAATAAATCGTTTCGTTTTGATGATGGTAATAAGGTAATTTAGGAGCAACCCCTACATTTAGCGAGACAAATGTCAATTAAATAGTAAATTCACGAGATGATAGTGAAATGTTAGAGGCACTTAAACAATTTTAGCATGAAGATAAAACATTTTTGAAATTGTCCTTTTAGGAAAAATTTAGACAGGTTTTTTTTTTTGAGTTCATTTTGTATTTTTTTACAGAGGTTATCGTCTCAACGGTATTATTCATCATACAATCTTCGTCACAACTCCTGCGAACAGACGTTTATATAGCATACGGCCCAGCCTCGGCCAAACATCGTCTCCAATCTACCTTTTGCCAGATCAACATCTCTATTTTATTTTTAAAACAATTAATAAACACAAATTTATACAACTAAAAAATTCTCAAAGATATATTCGAGGTTAGTCGAAAAGAATTTTAAAAAAATGTGTTAACATCACAAATTCCATTCAAATTGCACTCCATGTACTTTTTTTAATGTGCTGTTTGTTTTTTCCTCGAGCACTTCCGCTGTTATGTTGTTTGGTACACTTCTCCTTTTTGTATTTCATGAAAAATTTTTAAAATCAACTTTATTTTCAGTGTTTTAATCCGCATGTAATGGAAGCAACTTCAAGTAGTCAAGTGAGTTATTCTTCAGTTGGTCAACATGAATTGTGTACCATGTGACGTCATCACACGCGTTCTCGAAGACAAACCCAACCGCCATCTAGTGGTCATCGTAGTAGGGTTTTGAGGCAGTGCTCGCCACCTCCCGGGACTTTACGAATCGCATAGCGTACGGTTTCTAGCGTTTAATACGCTAGATGGCGCTACGTTTTTATTTTTTAAACAAAATAAATCAATTTTTGCTACACATAGCATTTTATCTGTGATATGTACGATTTTAGAGTGTAGCTAAATAATTAAGTAAATAATTATTATAAATTTAAGGTTTAAGTGTGTATATTAAACGATAATGTGGAACCTAAATAAATTAAAATTTAAACAAATGTGTAAAAATCCCGATATGTTATGTACGTTTATTCCTATACTGTTTATATATTATTTTATCGATTATTAGGATTGTTATTTATGTGATATGGTGACAAAAAGATCTAGTCAATTATATAAAGAAACAAGCATTTTAAATTAGAAAAGATAATTATTATAAAATAAATGCGTTTTGTTCCGATTTGATTATAGTTGTTAAATTGACACTATTTCATTATTATTCTTAATAAAAATCATAAATAATCTCAAATAAATGTAGATATATATAATTAACCCTAAAAGAAGTACCCCTAATGTTTAAATAAGCTAAAGAAAATGAATGAATGATAATAATGGAATAGTGTGAAACTTGATCGAAATTTATAAATAAACAAAAACCTTCATTAGCTGTTTATACGGTCTGAAAATTTCGTAATGAGAGTATGTACAATCAATAAATAAATGTGTTACTACTACTAACGGAATATATTTAAACTGAAATATTGTGCGTTTTATTTTTAATAATAATTTAGTTAAATAAAATCCCCAAAGAAAATTATTTAATTAGCGGAATAATTTTTTAGTCAATAATTAAATCAGAAATTAATTAATGTGTTTGAGGAATTCCCGAACACATTTCAGTAAATATTGTGATAATTTGTGTATTCGTCTTTCGAAAATGAATAAAAATACTTTAATTAAATACTATAAATAAATAACAATCTTTAATAGAAGATAGAAAAATATTGTTGTGGACTGTATATAGTTGAATGAAAAGCTTCTATTTTTGTTTTAATTTATTTTGTTTAAGGTAGCCGTTCAATTTACTTGGGTTCTAAAAACTGATAAAAAAAATGTGTATAGTTCCTTCTCTGATTTGTAGAGGTCGCAAAGTGTTTGGTTTAGCATCTTTAAAATACAGATGTTTCGCTTCTACTGAAAAGTGAGACAGAAACACATCGACTATTGTATAGACGTGTTTTTATACCGCTACGACCAGCCGATTATTTGTCATCGTATTATGAAAAGTGTTGGTATAGAAATAGTTATTTATGTACCAAGTCAGCAAAGTGATGCTTTATCGAACGAGTCTGAGTTTGCGAGTCGAGCGAGCGAAGCGAGCGAGGCGAGTAAACAGGCGAGTTCGATAAAGACACTTTGCTGACGTGTTGCATACAACATTTTATCGCCAA